TATTCAATTTATGCAGCACTCTTAATTTTTCCCTGAGGATCATGAGTGGATACAAGTAAAAAATTGCTGCTCTTTATTTAAATAAAGAAAAGAACCAAGATCGGAAATTGAATTGAATTGAAAATACTACATTAGGTTTCAGCAAATATACTTTTTATACACAAAAAAATAACGTTAAGAAAATAATTAAACCAGTACAAAATGTTCACACAAAATAGGTACTTGTATGGAGCAGAAATCGAACCTTATGATCTATGCCATGCCATATCAGTACTCGACGCATCCTCATAATCAATCGTAGAGTACTAGATCTGGTCACAAACGTATATAAAAAGATAAATGGGAGATCTTATATCATTTCACCATGTTTTTCGCATTTCCCTATCTTTGTTTACAAACCAAAATCTTCCAAGTTTGTTTACAAAAGCCTAAACGGTAGCATCGATATAATGTATGCCATAGTTCGCACACTTTCACGGTTACCTAACCGTCGCCATTTGTATGCGTCCCTTGTCTCTGGCCAGACTTGGGCCGGGTATTATGGCTCGTGGCGAGGTATTTTGCTATTCTAAGGTTAAAACCATACTTGGGTACAAAAGCTGGTCTATGAGTACCTAGGGCCCGATTCGACCAAACTTTTATCCGAGAATAACTCCTGGTATAACTGGCACATTGACAGTTTCAGTATGAGAAATATGTCAAAGCTGACGATTTATTCTAAGATCAATATTTACTCTTGTTTGGTCCAATCCACCCTTAGTGATAGAGTCGTATTATTACAGTAGTCCTGCCGGGCCAGGATGCGCGCCATGATCAATCTTATCGGCGATTTTTGACGACAAACGTGTAGGCTTATCGTGCAAAATCGATAAAATGCCTGGATAACTGTTTATCGTGGCGCGCATCTTAGCCCTACTGAAAGGCACTGAAGCAGTGGCAGATTTTTATGCAGAACAAGGCATTATTTCAAGGCCCTGTAAATACATATTCACTGTCATTTTAAAGGGGCCCGGATCACAGTATTCTAGCTAGGTGTAACTCATTTGGAAATTAAACCCAAACCTACTGGACCATGGAGGCGAAAACTGTTTACCTCGAAAATAAAATAATGCTATTTTTATCTATTTAGACTTTAGACAAATTGCAATTCTGTGCTCAGACTGCTAATCTCTCAGTAGTGTGGTTGTACCCTTACGTTTGGGTCAAAATATGCATCCCCTAATAAAGGTTGTTTAGATAAAGATTTTTAGTGGCTAGTAGGGATCAACGAGCCGCAGTTAGCATGATCCACGCAAAAACAAAATACGCTTACGTCACACAATACGTTATGGCTTTCCAATATTGATTATGTAAGAATTTTCTAAGTTTGTACGTAGAAAAATTGATATCTCAACATTTATTATTTTTATTTTAATTAACAGTAACTTTTTTTGTATTATTATTAGTATAACCTATGTTCAATGTTCATCAATGCTTTTTACCCAAAAAAATAAATGAAAACAGATGTTGTATATTAATAGGTAAACATTGTGTTATTGAGTTTATTTAAAAAGTAAGAAAAAACTATTAACAACTCGTAAAAATTAAATATTCATAATATACGCTATCTTCACATTAAACGATAAAAACCACACAATTACCATAAAACAAACATAAAATTACGCGCCATAAAAATTCATACCAATAGTTGACACAACTTAAAGTTATGATGACCAATAAAAGATTAATAGTTAAAATTCTTATAATCGTAAAAACAAAATGGCCGCGTTTCCCGCCGACGCGGCAATAAAAGAAAATGGCGGATCGCTATGACTGACACTTTTCTCCTCGTTTGCGATGATGTACTTTTGGCCAGAGATTATCACTTTTTGTTGGAAAAACTTAAGATTAAAGTACAGTCGCCAGCATAACTACTTAATGATGAAAATAAATTATACTTATTCACACTGTGTTAAGCTTGTGCCTTGGTACATTTAAATTTTACATTTAAGTTTTCTAGAATTCTTTTGTAGTGTTTAGCCATAGCAACAAAACTCTTATTTATGCTGAGTAGTACTAGTACTACTTTATTTTAAGCGTGACTATAACCATTACCGGTGTTTTATAAGGGGTTTGACAGACTTTTCACGTTTGTTACAATTAAAGTAAGATGGTGCAACCCAGCCTTAGAGTCTGTTTAATTATGTTGTGTCTGTAATCTTTGTACTTGATGAGATTATTATATTTTATCTTGTATAAAAAATTAAGTAAAAAAAATTAAGATAAAAGGCGCCCTAAGATAAAATGGAACCAATCAATATGTATATCGATATTATATTGATAAACATCTTTAATACTCAAGGTACTATCAGCGCCAAAACGTTGACAACACAGCCTTATTCCAACAGTGACAAAGACGTGTTGCGAACTTACTGACTGTACTAGTCAGTATTAGCAGGCCTGGCTCACTCCGCGCGGTACATCCGATAATTACCTACAGCGAAGCGCCCCGCCGGCGGGTATTATATCAGTCGAGTGTCACACGCGCGCCCGTCAGGACGCTGGCGTGCGTTGTAGTACCTAATTCTATGATAGAAGTATTATTTAAAAATGGACATAAAGAGAAAGAAATTGTTAGATATAAGCATCTATAGGCGCGGGCTGCGACCCGCCCGCGGCCATCTTTCGAATAAAACAGTGTGCATGTGACTTGCTTGTTTGATTGACGTGCGACGTATCGCCTCTTCCTACCAAATACCTAACACGTGGCGACGAGGATGGGATTATATCATTTGAATTGTANTATTAATAATATATTAGGTTTTAGAATTTCAATAGAGCATATTTCGATAACATATTCAACGGTCAGGTCCACAATATCCTTTCTCTCAGTAAATTGCACGTTATCTTGCAGTAGGATACAGACGCCGCCGCCCGCGTGATTCTTTCGGCAGTAGGATGACGCGATCTGATAGCCATGGACATGTAGCAGGTCCCTCTTTTCTTCATTTAACCAGCTCTCAGTTATACATATGGCTTGGTATTCGCTTTGGTTATTATCTAGGAAGTCCTGCAAAATATGTGTTTTGTTGTTTAGACTCTGCATATTCTGGAAAAGGATTTTAAATCTATTATTTATTTCGAAAGGAACTGTTGTCGTGTTTCTCTAGTGGTTCGGTGGATATATTCAGTGAGTCGCTGTTTATTTGTGATGTGCGTCGAGTAGTGTCGGCCTTATTAGTAGTAAGTTGGGTCTCAACCGGTTTTCCGTTTACGATCAGTTTGTTGTTGCGGATGATTGCATGGTGACCGCTTTGTCTCGCTGTTTTTAGACCGTCGCGTAGGTTTTTTCTTATCTGGAGTGATCGTTTATCTAGGTATTCAGAGACTCCCAGCCCTGTGCCTCTGAAGTATTTTGCGTTCTGAGTGATATATTTAGTCATTTTCTTGCTAATTAATTCGATTATGAGTGGCCTTTGTTGTCTTGGGCGGTAATTTCCTATTCTTTTTACGTCTTCTATGTATCCAAACAAATTTATATTCAATATTTCGTTAAATACTTGTGTCACTCGATTATATAGATCATGTTCCGGCTCTCTGTGGTATTCTGCGAGGCCATATAAGACAATTTTCTTGTTGTTATTTTGTTCCATGTCTGAGTACTTTTCCTGATTATTTTGCTGGTTTTTTATTTCTTGTAGTTGCAGTTTTAATTTTTCATTTTCTTGTTCTAAATTTTCTATTATTCCATTGATTTTTGTTATATCNTCCATTGATTTTTTAATGCTTTCCTGTCCTGTTTTTAATTCATTGTTGTGTAGATAAACTTCCTGTTTTAATTTGTATATAGCCTTATTTATTTCACTTTCAATTGTGCTTTTTAGGTCAGTTAGTATAGACTTTTTATTGTTTTCCAGTTTAATGTCTAGGAGTCTACTGAATTCTTCCAAAGTTGGGTAGTTTTCTTGCCTCGTTGGGATGTTGGAGGCTTCAGTCGGGCTCAAGCTCTTAGGTTGAGGGTTGTCGTCTATAGACATTGTGGTGTCATCTAGGTTGAGTTGAAACTGTTTTCTTGTGGGAGTGTTATCATTTCTAGTGCGCCGGGTTATGTTTTCGCAAGCGTGGCATCGCCAGGTCCTAGCTAGTTCGGTTTTGTGGTTTAGATAATAAGCAGAGATCATGTTTAGGCATGCATAGTGGTATCTACCTTTACAGCTTACGCATCGCAATATCTCTCCCTCATAAATTATACGTTGGTTACATGCTTGGCAGTCCATTTTTGTTCAGCTTCAGAAATTAGTAAGCAGTAGACAGAGCGCGAGATTTGCAAGCGAGATAGTCAGTTACAGGCGCGGCCAGAGTAAGTGCGACAGCAATACAGCAACGTCACACGACGTGTAACAGTAGTGAGTGACACGAACAGGTAGATGCGTAGGCGCGTTTAGAGCGAATGAGACAGCATACGTACGGGATTGCGATCGATGATGTGGTGAATTATGGCACTTTTTCTTCTAATAATTCACCACACTGCAAATAGTTTGTCAATCCAATATCACACACTTTTAGCTCTCACTTGCAGCTACACACTGATGCAAATTTTGTATTTATAAGTCATTTTCTATAGGTGTATTTCTCATTTTTAACAAGAGCGAGTTAGAACCGGTGTAAGCTTAACGGTCGCGCGATGACGTTATCCCGTTATGTTCATATAACGTATTTCGACTTTTGTATATTCCCTTGGTAGCCCAGTCACTAAACTTTGATTTGGTATTTGGTTTTAATGGCTTTACCGTAAAAACTTTGTCATGTTCGGTTTTAATACATTCGAAAAGGTTATTGTAAAGAGCATCTGGGTCTCCCTGCACATACGGGACTAAATGCAATTTATTTTCAAGATTATTTTTAAAACGTTCTAGACGACTAATGGTTACAGGTCTACATACGGCATTTTTTTTACTTTTGTTAGGTATTTGGTAGGAAGGGGCGATACGTCGCACGTCAATCAAACAAGCAAGTCACATGCACACTGTTTTATTCGAAAGATGGCCGCGGGCGGGTCGCAGCCCGCGCCTATAGATGCTTATATCTAACATCCCTTCCCCTTAAGCTAAGGAATTACAGAAGAAGTACATAGTAATAATACCTAATAATAAATATACATTACAACCTAAATCATGACAACAGTCAGTCATCGCAAACACTATCCTGGTCCGACGTTGGTGTGGAGAATATTGGACTTATTGCCTGTCGCCTGCGAGTCACCACCTGGTCGTGGTCCGTGGGGGTGGCGGGCGAGGCCGCGCTCGGGCCCGGGCCGCTCGCCGGCGCGCCATCCTCCCCCCGCGGCACGTCGGGCACCACGTCGGGGTCCCAGTCATGGTGGTTGTCTGGCGACTGGCTCCAACGTCTTCTTATTTGATCAATGTGTCTTGTGACGTTTGCATTCAACTTTGGTACATATATCAAATATGTTACATTGCCTGTTTTCTTTAATATAACACCTTCAACCCAGGAAAAGTTTTTAACGTTAATGTTCTTAGTTATCCACACTTTATCATTTTCTTTAAAGTCTACTCTGTTAGTACCTTTATAATATTTAGCCTGTAAGGACTGATTACGCACGATTGTGTCAGTGAGGTCTGTGGACGATGGAGACGGCGCAGACGGGTCAATTAAATCTAAGCGAGATCGCAAAGTGCGTCCGTAAACTAACTCCGCGGGTGTTTTATCAGTAGTACTGTTTTTAGAGTTCCTGTAGTCAAATAAAAGTTTAGCTATTTTATTTTGAATATTTTTTTTATTGCAACCTTCTAAAATCAAACTCTTAATCCCCTTTTTTACTATTTTAACATACGACTCGGCTTGCCCGTTGCTTGCTGGGTGATAAACAGGGGATAATGCGTGTTTAATTCCGTTTAGTACACAAAATTGTTTGAATTCCGCAGAGGTAAAAGAGGTACCGTTGTCACTCACCAATGTATGTGGGATTCCAAACCGCGACATCATGTCGTACAATTTATTAATTATAGTATTTGAATTGTACGTCGAGGATACGTCATAACATTCTACCCATTTGCTAAAAGCGTCAACGATAACTAAAAAGACGTACCCGTGAAACGGACCCAGGAGGTCTACATGTATACGGTAAAACGGCTGCGGCGGCACGGGCCACGGCGCGAGCGGCGCGTGCGGCGGCGCGGGGCGCAGCGCGCAGCACACGGCGCAGGCGCGCGCCAGCCGCTCCAGCGCCGCGTCCACGCCCGGGAACCACAGCCGCCTGCGCGCCTCCGCCTTCATTTTTACCACACCGAAATGCGAACTGTGTAGTTCCCTACATACGCTCTCTTGTAACGACGGGGGTATGACAACTTTATGTCCACGCATTAAAATACCATTTTCGAAAGACAGCTGAGACCGACAATTGAAAAAAGGTTTTAACTCCGAGTCAACTATTTTTCTAGGCCAACCTTTTAAAACGTATTGCATAACGGTCGACATGGTGACGTCATTAGCTGTTTCGCGGCGCATCTCGTTTAGCGTCACCGGTAAGTCGCCATCAACCACGAAGTTGACATAAGTAGCGCGGTCTCCGCACTCCGCCAGCTCGTCCGGCGCCGCCGGCTCGGTCTCCGCGCACGCCCGCGATAGATAGTCCGCCGTGTTTTGCTTACTACCTATAAACTCTATAGCATAGTTAAACGCAGCCAAAAATATAGCGTACCTTTGTAGGCGGTTAGCTGATATCTCTGGAATGCTCTTATGGGGTCCAAATATGGCCAACAGGGGCTTGTGGTCTGTTCGTAATATAAAAGGCTCTGACCTACCGTACAGGTACTGGTGGAAACGTCGTACGCCAAAGATAATAGCCGTCGCTTCTTTTTGTATTTGTGCGTAATTTTTTTCCGCCGACGACAACGTACGAGAGCCGTAAGATATTGGTCTTTCTAAACCATCATTGCCTACTTGAGAGAGCACAGCCCCCAGCCCGGTCGGCGAAGCATCCACTGATAGTATTATCTTAGCGTTTGGATCAAAGTGAGCCAAAGTATTATCGGACGCTAAAATTTTTTTTATACGCTCAAACGCATCGTCATGTATACTGGTCCACTCCCATTTGGCATTTTTATTTAATAACATATACAGTGGACTTAGTATAGATGACGCGTCCGGGACAAAGTTACGATAGTAATTAGTAAGCCCTAGGAAAGACTGCAACTGCGACACATTTGTCGGTTTAGGTGCTTGTAAAATAGCCTTCACTTTATCGGGCGATTTCCTAACTCCGTTTTTATCTATGGTGTGCCCTAGGTATGCAATCTCATCTTTGGAAAATTCGCATTTATTTAATTGTACTGTTAACTCGGCATCATTTAGCCGTTGTAACACTGCTATTAACCTTTCTCTGTGCTGAATAGTATTGACTCCAGTAATTAAAATATCGTCTAATAGGAAGATAATACCGTCTATGCCAGAAAGTAAACACTCCATCGCGCGCTGAAAGATAGCAGGTGCGCTTGTTAAACCGAACACCAAACGAGTGAAATTAAATAGGCCACGGTGGGTATTGATGCACGTTAAGCCCTGCGAACTTGAATCTAGAATAAATTGATTGAATTGATTATATGCCATAGATAAGTCAATTTTACTGAATTGCACGCCGCCACCAATTGTTTATTTATTGTAATGGAATAATCCGCACATAATCGGATGCTTCCGTCCTTTTTTAAAACCGGCACGACTGGCGAAGCATACTCAGAGTGCTCGACAGGTTTTAAAATACCCAGAGATAATAATCGATCGAGTTCTTTATCAATTTTATCCTTTAACGCGTAGGGTACCGGTCTAGCTTTAATAAAAATTGGTTTGGCGTCCGGTTTTAAACGCAAGTTAATTGTGTACTTGTTAAAAGAACCGAGATTGCCTGAAAAAACTTTAGGGAACATGTCGGTCAGCTGTTCAACGATCTCATTCCCGCCTTGCGGCGGCGCTTGCGCGTACAGCGCGTGTACCGGCGCAGGCGTCAGCTCTAAACTAAACTCGCGAATAAAATCGCGGCCCAGCAGCGGCGGGCCGCCTGAGCGCACTACATACACATTCAATGTGCGTGTGCGCCCGCTGTATGTTACAGGCAACGATACCACTCCGATTGTTTCTATGTGTTCTCCTGTATAGCTAAGCAACTTCTTGTTTGTGACTGACAACGGTAACTCCTTAAAATTTGATGTATAGGTTTTTTCTGACATTACGCTAACGGCCGACCCGCTATCGATTTCGAACTCTAAAACCAAACTACCGATAATTACTTTTTCAGTCATCGGTTTCCCCTTTAAACACCGAATATTATAAAAAAACTTACCGTCGTCTCCGTCGTCTCCGTCGTCCACGTTACCTTCATTAACGTATTTCACTTTGTCCCCGTTAGGACACATTTTACGCAAATGACCTTTAGTATTACACTTTTTGCATTTGTAATTTTTGAAACGACACTGATCGGCCCTATGGTTTGTAAAACCGCACACACTACACTTTGCCTTCTTGGTGATGTTGAACACTGCATCCGGGCCCGCTTTGCCGGCGCCGCCTGCGCTCGGCACTGCCAGCGCCGAGGCCTGGCGTGCGCAGCGCACGCTCTCTGCCAGGTCGATGGCTTTCGCGAGGGTTAGCTGCTGCTGATCCTGCGCGAACAGTTTGTCCCGCTCGTGTCCCGCTGCCATGCCCATGATAAATTTATCAAGCAAGGCCTCCTCCAAGTTTTTAAAAGCACAGTGTGCTGCCAATCCTCTGATTCTGGCCGCCCATTGAGTGTGACTTTCCCCTGGACGCTGTGATGCAGAGTAGAAGTTTGATTTTTCGGCAAATCCAATTCTTTTGGGTGTGAAATGGTCATCTAGGAGCTTCACAATTGCCTCATAATTCAATTCTTCTACCTTATGGGGTAATGCCAGATCACTTGCTAGCTTGAAAGTTGATTCACTTAATGACGTTAACAAAATCGCCCTCCGCTTGACTGTCGCCTTGTCCGTTTCAACGGTTATGTCGTTCGCAATATACCATTGATTTAATCGCGATTTATAGCTGTTCCACTCCTGTGACAAGTGGTCGAATGTGGAAAGAACACCAAAAGACACTCCCGTAGACATTTTTAAAGCGAAAAGTGAGTCCGATCGTCGCCACGTGTTAGGTATTTGGTAGGAAGGGGCGATACGTCGCACGTCAATCAAACAAGCAAGTCACATGCACACTGTTTTATTAGAAAGATGGCCGCGGGCGGGTCGTAGCCCGCGCCTATAGATGCTTATATCTAACATTTAATACCACAGTGATCTGACGTAAGATTGTGTATGACAGCTTTTTTGTCAGGGACACAGCTAGAGAAAATATTATCTAGACAAGTAGCTGTGGTTTCCGTAATTCTAGTTGGCTCCTTAAATTGACTAAACAAATTAAATGACTTAAAAAGGGAAAGTAGTCTTACAGAATATGATGATGAGCTATCAAGTAAATTGACGTTAAAATCTCCACAAACTAAGACCTTTTTGTTGCTGTTACAAGTTTTATTAAGAGCATCCTCAATAGCCGCTTCAAAAATACCAAAGTCCCCAGAAGGGGGTCTATACACACATACAATAATGTAACTCTCAAGCTCGATACAGGAAATTTCGATAACACGCTCAACTGATAGCCCTACTACATCTTTGCGTTCTTTACATTTAATATTATTATTGACAAATATTAAGGAGCCTCCGTGAATGGCAGACTTCCTGTAAAACGCGCTATGGTTAGGTCCACCTAAGGAGACATGTAAAGTGCCCCTTAAAAGGGCTACCTTTTTATTTTTGACGTTTATATTAAGTGCCAAAATACTGGTTAAAATTTAATGAAATATTTTTGATTTTGATTTGGTTTTGACCCTTTCCCAAACTAATTGTATATAGTTTGGGAAGACCAGAATCTTTTTTTAGGTTTACCATTTTCCTTCAAAAAGAAGCGCAGGATCAAAGAAAAGTATAATATTGTTGCTTCAAGCACGATGTTACAAACCTAAATTATATTCATGAGCAGGAACTCAACTAAATAAAAATATCATAACTTCATAATTTAAATCTTAACAAATGAAGGTCAGAAGTTTGGGCTTTCTCACATAAACCAGCTTACTGTCAGCCGCTGGACAATTGAACTATTTTCAACTACTGGTCTGTGTGACCAATTGCTTCTGAGCGTGATTTAGCTTCTACATCTGAAGATTAGTGATGTACCTTGTCGATAGTTGAATAGACGTTGTTTTAGAAAAGGAAAGTGTTATGGGTGTACCGTCTACAGGTGATCTTCTCGTGTATGCCACACACCTATGGAGCGAGGCCATTGAGAAACATGGAGAAGCTCTTGCCGTTTCATTGGACGTATCAAAGGCATTTGACAGAGTCTGGCACGGCAGCCTACTAAACAAGCTTCCATCTTTTGGAATCCCTGTTGGCTTCTGCAAATGGATCTCCGATTTTCTTGAGGGACGATCAATAAGAGTAGTTCTTGAGGGCTACACTTCTAGTCAACAACCTATTGACGCTGGCGTCCCTCAGGGTTCGGTGCTGTCTGCAACACTATTCCTACTGCACATCAATGACCTGCTCAAACCCGGTACCTTTGGGTACGCAGATGACACGACAGTGACAGCCAAATATATATCCAACGCAAAAGCCGACAGGCGTGAGGTCGAGTCTTGTCGTGAGTCCCTAATTGAACGCTTAAATTTGGCCCTTCAGGATGTCTCTGATTGGGGCGATGCCAACCTGGTCCAATTTAACGCGTCAAAAACACAGGCGTGTCTGTTCTCCGCCAAACGAAGTCCATTTCTTATGGCTCCAACATTCCGAGGTGTGCCTGTCAAAATCACCGAGCGACTGCAACTCTTGGGCATTGAAATGTCCAGCAAGCTGAACTTTGGCGAGTACATCGAATCCATAGCGAAAACTGCTGCCAAAAAGCTTGGTATCCTCTCGAGGGCAAGGCAGTACTTCTCCAAGAAGCAAAGGCTGCAGCTTTATAAAGCACAGATCCGACCTTGCATGGAATACTGCTGCCACCTCTGGGACGGCTCTGCCAAGAAACATTTGGCTGCTTTGGATTCGGTGGAAAGGCGTGCCAGAAGACTTATCGACAGCCCTACCCTTGTTGAAGCGGCGCTCCAGGAACTTGACCATCGCCGTAAGGTAGCATCCCTATCGGTTTTCTACAGGCTACACTTCGGAGAATGTGCGAAAGAATTACATGAATTAATTCCACCAGCCCCCTTCCATCATCGGGGAACCAGACGCAGGTTAGCGTACCATCCCTATATTGTTGACATTCCACCAGCTCGCACTAAGCGTTTCGATGACTCTTTTATAATGCGAACAGCTAGGGACTGGAATTCGTTGCCTGCTGCTGTCTTTCCCGAAAACTATAATCCGGACCTTTTCAAGGCGAGAGTGAATAGGCACTTACAGGGCAGATATGTACCATCCTAGACCGCATCCCACTTAACATCAGGTGCGATTGTGGTCAAATACCTGCCTTGTTATGCATAAAAAAAAAAAAAAAAAACAATTTTTATAATTATTTCTAAGTCTTCAGATTGTAACCATCATAGAACTGATGATGATGAATATTAAAATTGTACTCGGAAGTACCTGGATATGGGTAGCTCAGGACCGGTCGTTATGGAAATCTTTGGGAGATGTTTTTGGCCAGTAGTGGACGTTATATGGCTGAAAGGAACGAACGAACTTGGCAATAGGATTTTTTATCATAATACTAAAATTAACATTAACACACAAACTTATTTCCGGGTGTAATAGGTTACCGATAAATAAATAGATGTCTCTAATGAAAGCCGAAAGAGTTGTGCAACTTATAACGGATAACGTATCGTGTTTAAAAATTATACTCCAAATTTTCTTCTTATGGAAAGTACATTAGGCTAGAGCTGAAAAGTGCATTATCTTCGAGTATCGACTGTTGACTTTGACAACACTAGAGCACAGTGAGTGGACAGTAAATCATGTAATACCCGATAAAATTCGTGTAGAGGCGAGCGCGAGCATTCCCAAGGATTTAGATGCTCCTCATATTTATTAAGATAATCCGTGGGGCTGTTCGACAACTGTGCTTTATCGGAGCGGCTTAACATACAGGATGTTATGAAGGCGTTTTACTAACTTTAAAATAGTCATTAACTGCTTTTAAGCTTCAGTGACTAATACATTTACTCGTAGTCCTCGTAGCTACATCATTTCTCTGTATGACAATAACTTTTGTTAAGATTTAGGTAGGACATCAATAAATTATATGCAAGAGGAAAAAATATATTTTATCTCTTCTCCTACTGTCTTGTCTTCGCATGACGTGTTGTTAATTCATATAAAGTGACTACTATATTATTTTTGCAGACGAAACCATTTTTTGATAACGTACCTACTTCGACAACTTTTTGAAACTTTTTTTGATGAAGTTAAGATAAACAAGGTCGAAATATTCAATTACACGTTGAAAACGTTTTACGTGAACGTTATTTGTTATAAGTGAATAAAATGGACAACGAGGGGTTAATTGATTAAAGTGTGGACGATCCTTTCGCGACGAAAAAGGTCTTTTCCGAAGGAATAAATTGCGACAGTTTATGCCGCTGGCGCGCAATATTTATTATTTTAGTTGGACCTTTAGGTATTTATTTTGGGACCTTTACTTACACAGCTAAGATAAGACTAGAAATCTATCTTGGTAGGACTAGAAATGAAAAGGAAAGTAAAGAAAATTCTGCTTTATTTGTGTTTCAACAGAAATAACCTTAAATTATTTGATAAGAATCAAGGTTTTTCTTACTTTTATACGAGTATTATCAAACCATAAAAACTGACATCTGTCAAGTCTACGGTGTCCACATTAGATGCGGTTCGCTGAATACTGATTTATAAAATACTATAAAAATGGCTATCCATCAATAGGAACGCCGTGTTAATTAGAATAAGCCTAACAACACCTTCTTGCTTCTAGCTTAAGGAGCAAAATGTATTAACAATATTTTGGGGTATATTGTGACAGTGATGGACATAACCCCAGAATGTTTTTCTATATTTGTGATAATAAAATACTTATTCTTCAAATAATAACTCTGGGGTCTCCACAGCGACCCCTGTCACTCCGCTGTCAAGGCGTCAATGCTTACAGCTATTGTAGTCATTTGTTTTTGCAAAGTTTTTGCAAGAATTGAATACCCAAGTAAATTAATTAATTGTTTCTATTGTTTAACAACATTGTAGGGGAAATCTTAATTTGAGTCCTGCAATAAAATAAGAAATAAAACTAAAAAAATTTTTATTCCCATAAAGTTCTTATTGATTAAAAATCATCTAAATTCAATTTCAATAAGATCGGTGTCATTTTCATAATTTTATGACTGAATTAAACTTCAAAACAACTTTCAGTAAATTTGATAGGTATTTTATGAAACAAGGAAGTTAATTCAAGCCTATTTATTACAGTCCCTAAAGGTGTTCCGAACAAAAAGTAATTTGTTAACAAAATGTTGTTTGTTTGTTGTTAAAAATTATACACCCTGTATTAAAGTACGCTGTTTGAACGCTTTTTTACAATAACGTAATATTTTATAGAGGATTGGTGTCCAGTGCAAGCATTATACTTACTTTGATGTTTTTCTTGTCGCTGAAAATTATTTTCTAAAACACTTTATCAAATAAAATTATAAAAATGTTTTTTCTTTAAAATTTTTTTTCATGGACTGTTGTTGCAACATGTTACTCACTGTTGTGCTGAAATTGAACCCTTACGAAAAAAATATTCGTGATTATAAAATGTAAGACGGTTAATTCAATTCAACATTTTTAGAACCTAGATACTGTTTTTGATACGGTTAAAAGTTTTTTTCATTCTGACACATAACATAAATTACACACACTTAAGAATAGCTTCGCCTCGCATCTTTTCCACTGTGCGACGGCCCCTAAACCTTCTAAGGGAGATTATTAAAAACTCGGTAGCTAGTTTATGAAGGCTATTTGTCGGCAGCCTTCGCTTCGTCGCTAACAGCTCCGGTAGAGCTAGTAGAATAATAATAAAATCCATAGGAATTTCGAAATTTGGACTA